TCTTGCCTAGGTTGGCTAGGTTTGAGAAGTTTCTCAACCATGAGAGTAAGATAATGACCCCAAATGGAAAGGGAAATGAAACAGCTACACAGTGGTATCAAGATGTTCAGTACATAAAGATAATGAGCTGCTTGTAATAAATTTGCAATCAACCTAATACAAAAAATGAGGATAATCTAACTTTTTTAAAATTTTAGCTCAAGATTTTACGTAAGTTAACATCTATTGAGTGTTATGCTCACTATGTCCTAGGTCTCATAGGTACTCACAAAGCAGAAAATGTGACACATAGAAAAAGGAGATTTTAAAAAAAATATACTCCTATTAAGCTAAAATTCCTTTTTGCCTAATATGAACTATTAAACACATCTATTTAAGTGGATATAATAAAATGTATTAAATAAAAGAGTATTATAATGACTAGAAAGGTTTTTCTATGTATGTCCTTAGGTTCTTAATTACCACGACTATCTGAAAAATATGTTTTATTAGTAGAAATTGAAAATTTTTAAAAAATGTTTAAAATAAAGTAACGACATCCACTGTCATTAAAATAAATTCAGATTTTGGAATTTTATTTCCTGATTTATCATTTTTTAATGCAAAAATCCCCAAATCTCCCTTATTCTTCCTAACCTGTTCTAAAAAGTTCAGGGAAACAAACATTGGGTCCCTTAAGACACATGAGAATACAAGTTACCTTTCAAGAGTTCTAAAGCTAAAAGGGCCAGGCCTGGAAAACTTTTTATCTTGAGCACATTGTCCCACCTCATCTATCTTGCTTCTATCTTCCAAGAAATATATTCCACCATTACTCTTTCTCTTGACTTAATCTCCAAAAAATAACTTCCCATTTACAAATTGAATAAATTATAAAATGTGCTTTAAGATGCATAATTGTTTTACAACAAGTTTTACTGAAATCCATCTATTTGACATATAATAGCCGCTCAAATTTCTACAGTGCTTTAAAGTTTACAAAGCATTTTCAAACTAACTCTTTAAGTAGACACTGTTATCATCATCCTCATTTTTAAAAAGAGGAAACTAAGGCAGAGAAGGTTGTTAACCAGTATCCTGAATAAATTCTCATATTAAATGCTAAGACATCTTCCCCTCTCTGTTGTTGTTCAATTATTTTTCAGTCATGTCCAACTCTTCACAACCCCATTTGGAGTTTTCTTGGCAAAGATATGGGAGTGGTTTGCCACTTCCTTTCCAGCTCATTTTATAGACGAGGAACTGAGGCAAACAGGGTTAAATGACTTGCCTAGGGTCATGCAGCTAGTAAATATCTGAGTCCAGCTTTGAACTCTGGAAGATGAGTCCTCCTGATTCCCAGTGTACTGTACCACCTAGTGTATAATGTTATCTTCCCTTCCTGCTTCTAATAAAATTTAATTTTTCTATACTGCTTATGAATTCACATTCTATACAAAGTTGCTAAAACTAATGATCTGGAATGACTGACTGGTTAAGTTTTTGGTATATCTGTGCTCTTAGTGTAATAATAAAACTGCAGTTACTATCTTGGTATCATTGATTTGGTGAATGACAAGCAGCAACTAATCAATAAATCCTTGGATAATTTTGATCTCACTACTATTCCCGTTGAGTGACTGGAAGTCATTTTGTTTAATACATAAAATAATGGTAATATGCAGAGAGCGATCTTTTTAAATTATTCATAATTTTATTAATTAATTGTATCAATTTATTTATTACTTATGTACACACACACTGCTTAATATCAACAAAAACACAGGTAGCATGACTTAATGGAGAAAGTATTGAGCTAGGGTGGAGCCAAGATGGCAGAGTATACCAGCAAACCCTGCTGGACTCTCCTGATATTCCTTTCTAAATAACTTTGACATAACTTCTCAAATCAAATTTTGGAGTGGTTGAGCCAACAAAAGGTCAGAATGAGACATTTTTTCCAGCCTAAGACTACTTAGGAGGTCAGCAGGAGAGGTCTGTGACACTGGGTTGGGAGTCAGCCTGGAGCACAGCAGCAGCACTTGCAGTCAGCTTTAGAGACATATGTGACAGCAAAAGCAGCAGCAGCAGCAGTTTTGGGAGCTCTCATTCCAGAGATGGTAAGGGGGGGAGGTGCTTGGACAACAGGTCAGAAAGATATTACAGGAGGTGCTTTGGTAGCACTGGTTGAAGCTGGCACTGATTGGCAACTCTTTTGTCCATACACAGTTCTGAGTTATGGAGAGGAGCACCCTATCGTCATTCACAAGGAAGCATGGGCCCTGATTGCATTTCCAAGGCAGAGAGGAGCACTAACACTGTGGCTGCAGGGGAACAATGCCCTTCCTGGATAAAGAACAGAGCACAGACCAGGAGAACAGTGACAACACCTCTCCCTGTATCACAGCACTTTAGGAGCACTGAGAACTTGCAGACCTCCAGAACCAGCCCTGAAAACCCCAGGTGAGCAGAATCCAACTTTAATTTAAAGTTCAAAGTAAAGAAATAGGTTGTAAAAACAAGTAAACAGAAAAAAAAGAACATGACTAAAAAAAGCTACTAGAGTGGCAGGGAAGATCAAGACATAACTTCAGAAGACAGCAATATGAAAACAGCCACAAGTAAAACCTCAAAGAAAAATGCAGCTGAACCCATATCCAAGAAAAACTACTGGAATAAAGAGATGAGTGACAGAGGAAAAATTAGGAAAAGAAATGAGAGTGACACAAGAAAATTATGAAAAGAGAATTAACATGGTAAAAAGAGGCAGACACACAAAAAACAAGAAAATAACACCTTAAAAAATAGAAATGGCCAAATGGTAAAAGAGTCTCAAAAATTCACTGATGAAAAGAACTCCTTAAAAAGCAGAATTGACTAAATGGAAAAAGAGGTACAAAAGCTCATTGAAGAAAATAAGTCCTTGGAAATTAGAATTGGGCAAGTGCAAGCTTATGACTCCATACAATATCAAGAAACAATAAAACAAAGTCAAAAGAATGAAAAAATAGAAGAAAATGTGAACTATCTCATTGGAAAAACAATCGACCTGGTAAACAGATTGAGGAGAGTTAAGTTAAGAATTATTAGACTACCTGAAAGCCATAATCAAAAAGAGAGTCTAGCCATCAACTCTCAAGAATTTATCAAAGAAGATGGTGGAGAGAAGTCAGGAAGTTGCCTGAGCTCTCCCGGGTTTCCCTTGGAAACAACATTAAATCAAGCCTCTAAGAGACTCCTGGAGCAATAAAATCCACAAAAGACAGAGTGAAACAATTTTCCTGTCCAAGATAACTTAGAAGGACTTCAGGAAAGGTCTGTCTCACTTGGGTAAAAGGGGAACAGATTCCAGTGCAGGCAGTGTCTGGGAAAGCCAATGGGAGGCTCTTAGCCACAGCAGAGATCAGCACTCAAGATCCTCTGGTCCTGGCTCAGCAGGCCAGTGGTACAGCAGGCCAGCTGTAAGGCCTCCAGCCCCACTACAGCAATCAAAATGCCAGCCCCAGAACCCCTAGCACAACAGGCAATTTGATCTCTAGTTCCTCTGCCTCTTCAAAAACAGTTCTGTTCTGTTCACATATTGCTGAAGCCTAGCTTGCAGAATCTTAAGCATAACATTGCTGGCATATGAAATTGGTGCAATTGTTTAGTAATTTGAACATTCCTTGACATTGCCCTTCTTTTTGGATTGGGACATAAACTGACCTTTTCCAATCCAGTGGCCACTGTTGAATTTTCCAAATCTGCTGGCATGTTGAGTGCGGCACTTTAAAAACATCATCTTTTAATGTCTTAAATAGCTTAGCTGGAATTCCATCACCTCTAGCCATATTATTATTATTATTATTATTTTAGCTAGGCAATGGGATTAAGTGAGTTGCCCAGGGTCACACAGCTAGTGTTATGTATCTGAGGCCAGATTTGAATTTAGGTCCTCCTGACTCCAGGGCCGGTGGTCTATCCGCTGTACCACCTAGCTGCCCCCTCTAGCCTTATTATTAGCAATGCTTCTTAATGCCTTAAAGGCATTCCTTTTACTTGCATGCCATCTATGTGTACCTATTCTTCCTATTGACACTTTGGGTATTTATGTGAGAATATGCCCCAGGCATATAGGGAATGGATATTTTGTTTACTATAGTTCATGTTATTCCATTTCAGTAAATGTCATTGCTTTGAGCAAATTATTTCCTCTGGCTGACTGCTGATGGTAAAAGTATCAGAGAGGATTAATGAGCTAATGGAGTAGAGTAAGAGTAGAGTATCCATAAAGTACACTGAACCTGAGGTAATCTTTCCTCCTTAAGAGCACTGGGCCTAGAGTCAGGAAGACCTGAATTAAAATTTGACCTCAGACACTTACTAGTTGTATGACCTTGGGCAAGTCACTTAAGGTCCATACGCCTCAGCTTCTTCATCTGTAAAATGGGAATAATAATACCATCTAACTCCCAGAGTTGTGAGTCTCAAATGAAATAATAATCGTAAAATGCCTAGCACAGTACCTGGCAAATAGTAAGCACTATTTAACGTTTTCATCATTATTTATCATTCCATTGCCAATTCAAGAAGAGGTTGTTAGGCTTAGAGGAGGCATTACATATCTGAGTGCCTTCTTCTGGATGCTTTCTAGCATATAAATATCCATAAAATGTGGTCTTTAAAATTGCTAAGTTTTTGTTTGCTTCATCTTTACACCTTTCAGGACCTCTGGTGGTAGAAGGGGGGAGGGGAGTCTGAGACGGAGTTAACATAAAGTAATATAAAATACTTGAAAAGAAGGGGCTAAGATTTTTTGCCTAGAGTAGAACAGTGAACTACAAACCGGTTTTTCTCAACCATTCTTTTCCCATTTCCTATTACATTTGCAAAATGCCAATGAGATCCCGCACAGCTGCGAGTCTCTCCTGCGCACTAGAGTAAACAGGCTCCGCCCAGGGAGAAATCACCACGCAGGCGCCCCCGTCTTGCGCATTGATACAAGTTTGGCTGCTTCTCCGAAGTATTTGGTGCAGTCATGCGCAGTGAGCAACGGGCCCTAGGGCTGGAGGTGGAAAAGGCGACGCGAACTGTTGCTCCTGGTGGGGTGCACGGTCGCTAAAATGGCGCCGTCCGGGAGTTCTTTGCTAACCTTCATAGCATTGGTGCTATTGCTGTGTGGGACTCCGGGGATCCAAGGACTGTGGAGACATGTGAGGACCATCACGGACAAGAACTGGAAGGAACTGCTGGAAGGGGAATGGATGATTGAATTGTGAGTGTGGGAGTAGTAATCCCTGGGCTTCTCTGCCCCCTTGGCCATATCTTTATCCTCGCTCTCCGTGACTTCCTGAAACTCCCATCCCCTCCTCCATCCCCGCCTGTGCTCAGAGGATATTCTTTGCTTTCCCTTCAAGTTCTCCTCGCCCCTCATTCTCAAACTTTGACTTTTTTCGATTTGGGGAACCTGTTTTGTTTTCACTTTCTCACCAACTTGCAGTAGAGGAGCCTCACGTTCCCCTAGAACCACGTTCTCACGCCTCTGTCCCTCCGCCCGCCCCAATTTCTTAGTTTTGTTTCTACTGCTGAGCTGTTTCTTATGCACGTTTTGAGTCCTTGGGATTTAATGAAGTTTTTTTTTTTTAAATTTACTAACAAATACCTTTATGAGGTATTTTATGAGGTACTTAGCATACATTACAACAAAGGATGAACTGAGGTAGAGTTCTCCTCTGATGTGAGTTGCAGCCAGTTCCTTCTCCTTCCCCTCTTCTAGTTTTTTCTTCCATTGAACCCATTTTTAATAATGGTTATAAAGTCTGTTGGTTGTCACTAAAGACATTGGTGTTTTCAGCATGTTTTTATTTTGTGGTATTCGCCATACAGTGCCTGTCAACAATAGATGTTTAATAAAGATAAGAATCTTTATTTCTCTCTATTAGTCTCTGTATCGAGTAGATTGTAGGAGGTGAAAGAGGCCTTAAAGATCTCTAGTTCATTTTACAGTTAAGAAACTATGTTCACTTAGGATAGCTCTCTAAGGGAATTCAAGGAAACGTACCAAGTTATGTTTTCTGGGCTTTAAGTAGTATTAGAAGGTCAAGGAGAACAGAATATTCTTAAAAGAGAGTGTGGACCTCTTTTCTAAAAAACCATCTGTGATGTTTTTGGGAATACATCATAAATATTTTGAGCTGCAAGAGTCTTTAGAGTTCATCAAGGACAATTTCCTTATTTTACAGAAGAGGAAACTGAGGCTCAGCAGTTAAGTGATTTGACCAAGTGATAGATTTAAAAAAAAAAGTTTATTCCAAATTCAAAAAATTTTGAAACTTTCTGGTTTCAAAAGGTTTTTTTCCTTTTTATTCATATAGAACCATATAAGAAAGCTTTAGATTTTATGAAATTAACTTAAGTATCAGATTAGCATTAGAACCATTATGGCCATTTGTCCACCTCTTTGAAATCCTGTGTACCTTAGCAAGCCAGTGTTGTCCATGGAGTTTTCTTGGCAAAGATAATGGAGTGGTTTGCCATTTCCTTTTCCAGTGGATTAAGGCAGATAGTTTTAAGTGACTTGTCCATGGTCACACAGCTAGTTAAATGTTTGAGGTCAGATTTGAACTCAATCCATACCCAGTGCTCTATTCACTGAGTATCCTAGCTGCCTCCATGTCTGAAAGGAGCTCCTTTTATCATACTTGAAATTGATAATCTAGCTTCTGCTTGAAGACCTCCCCACTGAGGGGAAATTCACTACAATTTTGGGCAGTTCTATTTTATTTTTATATTTTTATTGCTACTTGTTTTTCTATCACCTTCATTTACAAACATTTCCTTTTCCTCTGTCATCCCCAGAGAACGTTATGTTATACCAAAAGAAAAAAGGAAAAAAACCAAAACAGCTCAGCAAATCTAACCAGCACATCAACTGAGACTGGAAGTGTATGCATTGTGTGTCATTCACAGTCTTGTCTTTGAGTCCAAGCTTGATCATTATACAATGTTCTTGGGGTTTTTTTGGTTTTTCTTTCCATTTATATTGTTGTTGTCATTGCAAATGTTGTTTTCCTGAACAGCTTGAATTGTTAGGAAAGTTTTTCCTAATACCAAGCCTAAATTTGCCTCTTATTCCTTACATTGCTCCTGGTTCTGCTTTCTGGGGCCGCAAAAAACAAGGCCCCTTCCTCTTTGATTGTGCTTCAAACATTTGAAGACTGCTATTATGTCATTCCTCCTTAGTCTTTTCATCTCTAGGCTAAACATCACAATTTCCTTCAACTTATCTCTTTATATGACATGGATTCTAGGCCCTTTTCTATCTTGGTTGCTCTTCTATGAGTATTCCAGCTTACCAGTGTCTTTCTTAGGTGGTGCCAAGAGCTAAACATAATTTGTTTGCTGTCTCTTTCCTTTCTTTCTTTCTCTCTCTCTCTCTCTCTCTCTCTCTCACTCACTCTCACACACACACACACACACACACACACACACCCAGAGGCACACACACATGCATGCACATACACACATGTGCATATATAGTCAAGGTGTGTGTTATATAGCTGTAGTCTGTATAGAATAGAATATTAGAATAGAAAAAAATGTGTGTATGTATGTATATGTGTGTATGTATATTTCTATATTTTTATATATATATATATTTTTACAGTGAGGATTCAAGGTTTAAAAATAAGGTGCTTTAGAAAAAGCTTGATTTGGAGTCATGGGATCCGAGTTTGAATCCTAGCCTTGTCAGTTGCTCTGTGACCCTGGGTCACTTAACATCTAAGCATCTCATTTTCCTTGTCTGTAAAATGAGGCAATTGAGCTCCTTTTTATTGTGAATCTCTGATTTTGCCATCCCATGTATGTGCACATATAGATGGTTGTGGAAGCATAGTTAGAGACTATGTTTCTGTACACATATACATGTATGTACATATACATATGTATACACACATGTGTATAGTGTGTGTGTGTGTGTGTGTGTGTGTGTGTGTGTGTGTGTAGTTGGAAGGGACTCCCAGAAGTCATCTAGCCTAAGCCATATGTGAATAAGAACCCACTTTACTACATTTGTAACAAGCAGTCATCCAACTTTTTGTTTGAAGACCCCTGGTACCCTTATTACCAACTATCTTGGCATTTGGCAACTTTGAAGTGTTCTAGTCTTGTCCTGTTATGGCAAACAAACAAATCAAATTCCTTTTCCATAAAACTTTTCATATACTAAAAAGTAGCTGTCAGGTCATCCTTTTGTTTTTACTTTTTCAGGCTAAACATTCCCCATTTACTTCAGATAGTTCTAACATAATATGTAATGCCAAGACCTTATGCCATCTGGTCATTCTACAGTCTATGAAAATTCTCTTTGTAATATAAATATAGCACCCAGCACTAAATACAATACCTTACATGTACTCACACCAGGGCAGAGACTCTTAAGCTTCCTAATCCTAGATTCACACTATATTTCCCAAAGAACCCTCAGATTGTGTTTGTTTTTTTGACTTCCATGTCACACTGTTGACTCATTGATTTTACAGTCCAACAAAGCTCTTATATCCCTAACTTGGAGATGGGAGGGAGGGCTGGTGCATGTGCGTGCACGTGCACGTGCACACACACACACACACACACACACATTCATTCGTTAGAATATAAGCTGCTTTGAAGAAAGGGGCTAATTTGGATTTTTTTTCCCTGTACAGTGCCTAGCGTGTAAGTGCTTAATATATGCTTGTTAATTGCTAATAATCTGATTACTTCCTTATTTCTGGAAGCTCTATCCTTCATCATACAAGATACCATTTGCATTTTGACTACCAGGTCTTGTTGATTTACACTGAGATTACCATTCATTTTTATTCAATATTTTTCATACCATTTTCTGTCTAGCTGTGCCTCACCAATCTTGTACTTGAGTAATTGATTTTTTGAACCCCTGAGGGATTTGACACCCATTGAATTTCATCTTAGGGAAGGAGAAAGGAGTAGCACCCACATTTATTAGTACCCTGTGATGTTGTAGGCACTATGTTAAGCACTTTACAAACAATATCTCATTTGATCCTCACAACAATCCTGAGAAGTTGGTTGAATATGACTTGCTGGGGGCAGCTAAGTGATGCAATGGATAGAGTATCAGACCTAGAGATAGGAAGATCTGAGTTCAAATATGGCCTCAGACACTAGCTGCATGACCCTGGGCAAGTCAGTGCTTCTGTTTGCCTCAGTTTCCTCATCTGTAAAATGGGGAAATAATAATACCTACCTGCTAGGGTTATTGTGAGGATCAAATAAGATAAGATTTGTAAAGCTCTTAGCACAGTGCCTAGCACATAGTATGCACTATATAAATGCTTTTTCTTTTTTTTTCTTTTTCTTACTTGAATTTATAATTCACTTAAAAATACCTAAGTGCTAATGAAACATGGAATTCAGTAGTTTGAATTTCCTTGATACATTCAAATAACACTGTAATATGCAAAATATTATTCTTAAAACTTTTATTTATAGTACCTTTTTATTTTAAATGATGAAACACTAACAAGCATACTAGCTCTTATGTGTTCAGACTAGTCTGATACTTTTCAAAGAAAAGTATCCCACACCTTGGGAGAATACATTCTCATTCTATCAAGGCTGTAATTAGTCAAAATGTTTCGGATCTCCTTAGAATTGTTTTACGTATTTGAGCTTACATATATTATTGTTCCTGCCTGTGCAGGTATGGAACTGAAACTAGGGCCATGGTTGACCAGAGACCTAGTAGCCCTCCAGTGATAAACTCCAGTGATTCTGTTATATCTAGGATAAACTAGCTTTTAAATTCTTTTACAACCTCAACTCAGTCTCTGTCTCTCCAGCCTCATTATACTTAATGCGTTCTACTATCTTCTAAGTACAGTTCTCTGTCTCTTGATTCTATTCCTTTGCAGTGGCTATACCTCATACCTGGAATGTACTTTCTCACCTATATTATATAGAATCCTTCACTCTTTTCAAAGTGCAGCTACAGCACCACATTCTAAGAATCCTGTTCTTATTTCTACCTCCTCACTTATGTACATATAAAGATCATATCTTTCCTAATACATTGTAAGCTCCTTGAGAGCTAGAACTGTTTTGGTTTTTGTCTTTGCATTCTCAGCAAAGTTACCTACCTCACTGCCTGCCTGGCACGTAATAGGTGAATAATAAATACTTGTTGATTAATGAAAAATTTATTATCATGGGAACAGAACAAAGGGAGAGTTTTAATAGAGTCTAAAGATA